ATCCTCTCGGGACCGGTGCGAATACAGAGAGAAGCGAGTCGCGACCTATAGCGAGGGACACAGGCGACCGGCCGACCGACCGGCCGACTGACTGTTTGACGTCAAAGACGCTCTCCGCATGTAATCACCGACCGAATCTGGTTCCGGCGTACCTTTTCCATCTTCTTTGGCTCTCGCTTGCACACTTGCTCGCCTGTTCGGCGATCTATCTGCAGGCTAGCTAGCGCCAGCTTGCTTGTTGTCGACGGCAGGCAGGCAGCAAGCTAAGTGCTTTTAGCAAAAAAGCTAGGGAGAAGGAAGCGGTGTTGGAACAAACCCGGGCTCTCTGGCTGCCGGCACGCCGAACAAACGAACAGGGACGCGGGGGTGGTCGGGGGCCTGGCGAAAGGAAGCAAAAAGGGAAACGCGGAAAAGCGCCAAGCAGCCACTACCGGCAGCAGCGAACAGGGGACGTCGTCAGCTGAAAGGGTGAGTCTGCAGGGAAATAGCGCCCGCCGCGCCGAAGCAGCAGCTACTGGCCGTCGCCCGCTTCTGCTGACACAACAATATCGGCATTCGCAAACAATGCATAAATCGCAAGCTCATTTCGTAGTTTTACTTCCGCTTTTTGCGCGTAACACGTCGCATGACGACTTTCGGCACGACATCGCGCTCAATCGAACCCCGGCGTTCGTTTTGAAAAAAATTATCAGGCGCACAATACGGGAAAGGTCCCCCGTATGAGTCCCCCTGTGGGTGAGTGAGTGAGTGAGGGAGACCAACTCGAATTCCCGAGAGAGAAGCCCTGTGGAGACAAGAAGCTCTGAACCGAAACTCACCTGATTCCGACGTTGAAGCCGTTGACGTTGAAGATTGCGAACTACATTCAGACACTGATCGTCGCTTCAGAGGACCTGTTGTGGTGGACGGAGGTGGGGACTCGTGCCCACAGCTTGAATGCGGCGGAGTTAGGATCTGAGGCGCGTACGGCGACGACGGAGACGATGGGGTTGTGGACGTGGCGCCAGAATGAGGCGAGTGCACCATACGCCCGAATCCCAGCTGTTCTCGGAGTCGTTGCAGATAACGGCGTTTGCGGAGCAATTGGTCACGGTGTAGACGATGCCGCCGTTCCTTGTCCTCGAGAGACTGAAACAATCAAGACGTGACGTTAGTATGTGTATCACGTTGTTTGACACGATCCCACAGAAGCGTACGATCGCCGAAAGTCGCAGTTCAAGCCGCTGGCTTACTCTAGCAAGTGACCGACCGACGCACGGACAAAACATAGCAATCATCATCGCAGTCGACAATAGTGATCACGTCTCAGCGTTCCGTCATTGTCAGCTGTTGAGTTTTCTGGATCGCGATCGATTGCCTTTGTCTGACTCTTGGATCTCGTTCTTCCCCTTAGGTCGTTGCCGATCCAGCCGCTCACTCGTTCAGCCAACGGCGCGGCGTGCTCTTTGGAAAACCGGGCATAATTGAAATAATCCGTATGAGTGAATCAATTATTTCGTGGATAAGCCCCAGAAATTACGGGTACTCGGCGTTATGTGGCCGGCCCAATCAATCCCTCCCGCTCCTTCCAGCTCTCGAGGCGGTGTCGTCACGTACTCTGTTCGCGGATTTCTGGACAGGAGCGAGGTCGAAAAGTTGCTGCGAACTTTTTTGCGTCCACGAGAGCGCACACATCGCTCAAACCACTGCCCGGATCCCCGAGACACCGATGATGCGGTCGAAATCCTTCTTTCGTCATTATTCTCCTCTTATCCTCCAGTGTTTGCGAAGCACAACGACACAGAAAGGTATTACCGACCTGGTTCATGAATCAGTGAACCAGGAAACTCCGCTCCTGTGCTGGGAACAATGGCTTAAGGAAACTCGAGCGACGCAAGACCGTTGGAATAGAATCAATGAGCAACAAATGAGGAGGAAAAGCTCCGATCATCGGCCCTCGAAGACGGCACCACAGTAAAACTAAAAGAATAAAACGGAAACTCTCAAGAATGATGAGTTGGCTCAGGTTGTTGGGGGCTCCTCAAGCGGAGCTTCTCCTCAAGCGCTGGGACAATCCGAAGACTGATGCACAGCAAACGTAAAACCGATTTTACGAGAAGATCAACAACATCGAACAAAGGCAAGCACGCTAAGCAAATGACTCGTATTGGACTTCTAAGCAGCTAAGCGAAGTACCCATCGATCCCACGGATATCGAGCCGTCCGACAGAAAGCTCTCCGCGACTCGGCCAACGCTCCAAACGGAACCATTCGGGCTATCCTCGGAGTTAAACCGTTCGGGGACGCTTACGAAAGCGTGCGCGGAGCGATTTCCACGTAACACGCGAAGTCCAAATGAAGCTTAAAATGTCATTGCACCATGTTTGCGAAGAGAGATGTGAGATGTCATCGGTGTCGTTACCCCCGGCTGGCCTCGACCAGAGTCGAGTCCGGGACTCCGCGGCGACGCCATAGAATTTTCCACCTCAGCAGTGATATATGCTGACTTATTAGTTTCGTCTAAATACGACAGACGACGAAAGCAATAAGCGAAATGGAAAGATGATGACATCACAATCCGGATCAATTGTTCAACATTCGGTCGCTCGTCCGCTCGCTCAATCGTCCGCCATTTTCCGACTCGACCGAGAGCTGACCAAGCGAAAGTACATGCGAAGCCACGTCTCTTCGAGAACGAAAACTAACGGGCACGTTGACGGACGGACGAACTTGACGAATGAATGTGCTACCAGGTACGGAGAACAAGAAGCGCCCGATCGAAGTCGATTCCCACCGTGCTCTTGGGGTGGTGGTGGTGGTGGCGATGACGACGACGACGAGGATCATGGCGATGATGATGACGGTGACGTCGACGGCAATCATGACAACGGCAACGAGAACCGTCGTCGGCGTTTGGTCTGCGGCGGTCGACGACGATGACGATCAGATGTGCGATCGCTTCATCTCAGCCTCAAAATCCCCGCCGCCTGACAATGACTTGTCAACGTGATTGCCAAGTACAAAAACTTTTCCATCCATCCGAGTGCGCTCGTGAATAATTTACTTGATAAGTGTCACTCCATGAGAACGGTCGCCTGGTGAAACTATCGAGCGATCCAGCGATTTAGCCAATGAGTCCTTCATCTGGTTCTCTCCGCTGGTTCCCTCGGCCCTCCCCCCTTTCTCCTTTTCCGTCTTCTACTTCGACCAGAAACCGGGCGGATTCGGAGATGGCGAGAGGAGACGAGTAATCTCCAGTTTCACCACAGGGCGCTACAGGAATCGCGCGCGCTCGCTCGCTCGTTGAGGGAACTACGAAGCTGAACAAGACAATCGCAAAAGTTGTACGTTACTATCTACTACGAGTGCGGATGCGCTCACTGCCCGCGCATGCCACTGCGATAGCATCTCGAAGTCTGCAGCAGTCGTAAATTCCACGGGTCGAGCAATCATGAACTTCGTCGAGATGTATCTTCATGCGACCATCGTCATGAACATCATTTCCATTACTATCGTCTCTCATATTCGGCAGCCGCCGACCCCGCTCCCGGTGATGATACGCTCGCGCAGTACGTGTTCGCTGTAACGCTCGGGAAGGAACCCGGGAGCGATCTCGCAGCCTTTGTTCGTCGTCGGCCCAGGTATTGCTAGCAGCCAGGTACTTATATTCGTGTTTCTTGTCGAAATCGATTTCGCCGCCGCCGCCGCCGCCGTTTCTGACATTCGGTCCCGCAACGAAGCAGTCGTCGACGTCACCGGTGCTTCAATAGCTTCGGCAGGCGTCGCGGAGGATCTCCATGTGCTCCGCTCCGGCCGCTTGAAGGCGGCGCGGAGACAAAAACGCTCGAGTCTCGGGCCCGTACCCTTTACGGGTCCCAGTGGGTTCCGCGATTCGCTTCGGGAGCGATCAGTTGCTCCCCTGAAAAAAAAACCCACGCGCTCTCGAGCAGGCCGGCCTGTTCGCACGTCTAATCATCATTATTGCGACCGATGATGCGCGTGCAATCTTCTATCGTATAAGCGTAGCAACGTGCCAAGACGTTCCACCTCTCGTTCGCAGACCTGTCGACGGATGTCATATCGCAAGCGGCGAGTACGGAATTGAGGGACGGGGGAGGGGGGTTAGGAGAACGGGGAAGATAGACCCGAGCAACCTCCCAGGACCTCTACTATCTTCCGGTTCCTCTGTGTAGGAGAGAGACCGACAGACGCAGTAAGCGCTCGGCAGACTGCCAGCAGCGCTATAATTGTCGGCGGACGGTTTTCTTTGAGTGAGCCAATTTGAGCTAGAGCTTTTCAAAGCGCCGCGTGGAGTTTCCGCTCCATCTTTCGTTTAAAGTCTCGCCAAGTTTTTTACTTTTTCATAATTCGTTTTGACGGATGGCTTCTTGCCGTCACCCGTCTCCCTCCGTGGCTGCCGCTCAAACTGCCGCGGCGCCGCCGTACCATTCCTTGCTTGATTTCGGTGTTGGGGGAGGGTGTCTCGTCCTTGTGAGGACAGGGGGTTTTCGGTGTCGCACGGCAGCCGCCCGAAGACGGAGCCGCGGCATATATTCCGCGCCCGGCTAATCGCCGGAGTGTGACCGACAGAAAGTCCGCGAGTCTACCGGAGCGCAGATGAGCGGCAGAATTAAGACACACGGATGTGCTTCTCGGAGCCCGCCATCAATCTCGAGGAAATCGGGGAACTATACGTCTCCGCGAAGACGCATGTGGAATTCGAGCTTGCTCTAATGGAGAGAACGCATAATGGCGAACCGAGAAGGCCGCGATCGGAGCACGAGTACGAGCCCGCTTCTTTTGAGATGCACATAGTGGAACGTGAGGATAAGGAATATGCATGGGAGGCCGGACGTCTGAAACGAGACGTGGGTTTCCATAACGCGCGGTATTCTGTGATTGAGTCATCTTACTCACTCAGTAAGATGAAGTGTCGCTTGAGCTTTCGCAAGCCACCGCTCGCAAGTCGTTCCGCTCCACCGAGAACGCGACGTCAGATATGCGGAGCCTAATTCCATCATGGGGAAGCCATCTCGTACCGGAGACGAATTCGCAATATCCACCTCGTGGTCTCGCTTCCCGGGCAGTCGACGTTTATCAGTACTCGCGAACGAAAAGCATCCGCGAGTTCCGTTGCCGGCATTATTCCTCTGCAGTTGTGCTGCTGCTGCTGCTGCTGCTGTATCGGAGGTTCTCCTCTCTCGACTTTTGAGGCCGCTGACAGACGCATCCTGGCGGATTGTGGTGGATTTCCCTCCGGGCAAGGCACCAACGAAACGAACGCGTCAGCACTATGCAGCACCGAAAATCAATTTTCTGTTACAGCTGTTAGACTGTTGTGTGGCGTCGAATCGGCGCGACGATAGGATTCGCGGTACGCAGAGGCGGAATGAATGGATCCCTGGCTCGCTCGCGGCGAGAAAGCCCCGGGGTGGTAGGGTCTGTTCTGTCCGTCCAGCGTGCAACGTGGCTGAGCAGACGACGTCCGCTGCCGCCGCCGCCGCGAGATCGCATATGCCAATCATGCAACCCCCCCTCGCCCTCTCAGTCGACCTCCCGGCATACCCCGTTTCCCCGCTTGCCCAGGTTGCTTGCTGTCGCTGCTGCCGACGGTCGGACGGCCAGTTGGCCGCTTGCTCGGTCAGTGGCTGCTGCTAGCGTAATTGGATCAGAGCTTCCTCTGCTGCCGCTGCTGCTTAGGGTTGCAGCTTCTATGGAGATCCACTCATTGTATCTTTTTCCTCTCACGAGACGGCTCGCTGTCTGTCTAGGAGGCATATATTTCTATTTATTACTGGTGGCATCTACTGCATTGGCTTGCCGGCAGTCGGTCCCTAGCTCCAGCCGACCGTCCAAGCGTTCGTCCGTCTGTCAGTCATTCGGACGTCCAGCCGAATGGCTTCTCCTTTGGGAAGTGGCTCGCTCGTCTGTTTGTCTGACCGAGAGACCGACCATCGGCCTGCTCGACTGTTTGCGTGCTCGACCGTCCGCCCGCCCGCCCGCTGCCTGAGTGTTGTGTCGGTCATTCGTTGCCCGGTGGTGGTTGTGGTGGCTGGCGTCGATGGCGGTCAGTTGCACGGATGCTTCTCCCGCCTAGTCCTGAGGCGGCTTTTTCCCCTCGTGAGCAGACCCGTCGACCCAGCGACCGA